TAGCTACTTTCATGGTTTGGTGTCCGATCTAAATTGTGATGCCACAAAAATGAACAAATTCGTTCATCCTATATATCGAATTCTTAGATTAGACAAAATACCATAATTGAAATGGAATGCTTTAATTGGATTAGCAAACAAACAGATGAACTTGGGATTAAAATTCAAGAGCAGCTTCAAACTTAAAGAAAATCTAAAATTTAAAAGTGATAGCTTTGAATATCAAATAGTAATCAGGCAATAATTTTGAAAAATGACTCATTCAACGCTCTTAAAAATATATATAATAGTTCTAGATACCGGTGGGGAAGTGAACCATATTTACTTTGGTACGTGACAGTGAATCTGGGTCCTGATTGGACAATGCTGAGAACTAGTTGGGTTACCTCACCACCAACATCCAGATCTGAAGGTCCGGCCAAATCGTCTTTTGTGTGCGATTTTAAAAGATTGATCGCAATTAATTAATATTCACAAATAACAAGCAGATAACAAATCTTTCAACTCATAAAACTTAAATTTCAAAGTGTCTACATAGCTAACGTAGCATGTTCTACAGTCCACGCCCATGTTGCACATCAAGGGCTTATTCGTGGATTAAAAAGTACGTTTCTTAACAATTTTACGATACCGTAGAAACTGAATCTCAATGTTCATGACATTATTACTGATCGTAAAATGAGTATTTCTTAACGATGAAATTTTAGTTATTTGAGAATTGGGCAACTCTCTGCAGTTTTTTATTGAACTCCATGATGTGATGGTTTTCACTGTGTCACGTGACTAAATATTAAACGGTTTTTATTACGTTACAGTCACGTGACACGACAGATCCGATAAGCTTTTTATTAGAACCATAACTTGGAGAGTTGTGTCTGATTTATATCTCTAGACTTGAAATGAGGAATTGTTGAGGGTCGATCCCAAAGATTTGTATCCTCATCACCTGAGATTAAAATATAGTAACTACGTAGGTTTATCTTATAAACAATAAAAACATGAGCAGTAATGCAAAACTACCACATACACATATGTTGAGGATTAAAGATTTCAAGCTAAATTTGTTTATGTATATTGTATGTGCTCCCTCTATGTCCAACGTACGAACCTCTTTGGAGAGAGTGATTTGCGTTTTTTAGGTGTTGAGAGTCTTCCGATAATGTTTTCAACTTGACCCATTCTCCTTATCTTTACTGATATCTGATAAGGCGTCAGACCTGAAATAACCAAATTCATTCAAATAAAGAGTCTGCGAAATCTTGCGAAATATGTATATTATATTATGATGATTATGTTTAAATTTGAAAGGATCTTTACATTTAGGGAAGTTCTTCCTGATTCGATAAAGATTTAACGTCTGAACGATAACACTATTTTTTAAACGACTAAATAAAATGAATAAACTGTTCTAAGGACCTCTGTTTGAGTGTTCTGAAGGGACTTGCTGAGGAGAAACCTCTTTGTACTCGATACCAGGCCGTTTTCCTTTGCATACATTCCCATTCTTCTTCGGATAGTTCTTCTTGACCGTGAGAGGAAGTTCAGGAGAGTTTCCCTGTGGTGCATAACACGCATACTTGTTGAACCTGGAAACCACTCCATTGGGTTGCTGCTGTGAGTTCATAAACTTATCAAAACTAGGATCATTGCTGGTCCTAATCTGCTCCATTAAAATGCTGTACGCATCAGAGGACCGCATGGTTCTGACGTTTTCCCCGATGGGCTCGATGTTGGGGAGCGGTTCCACAAGGACAGGACGGTGACGTCTGAAGCGGCCAGGAGCCACCCAGGGCGGAAAGAGAGGAGCTCCCTCTGTCTGGGAGAAGGAGTCTGTGGGTTTCTTGTTGACGATCTGATATCCCTGGAAAGGGACGGACGGTTCAAAGGGGGAGTATAGGGAGTTGTTAGCCGGGTACTGAGTCTGACATGTCCTCTGCTCGATAGTGGGCGCTACCCGAGTGTTATCCTCGTTGCTGAGAGTGCGAGGGGATGGTCTGGATACCTTTCTAGCGCTCAAGAGTGGTTCTACCAGCACTGAACTGAGTGGGGAGTTTGTGTAGTCGAGGAAGGGACTGTAGGGCGGGAACATGTCCGTTTGGATGGCTATATCCACCACGTTGTCTTGTCTCTGCACGATGAAGACTAGGACGGGAGTTGAGACCTCTATAGCAGAACAGTGTTTGCTGTGGTTAGGGAACTGGGTCTGGACCGTGCGTTGCTCCACAGGAATCCTCACAATCTCCTGACCTGACTCGTTACGCTCTACTATCGGGAAGGTGCTCTGCATTGACAGACGTCTACCATCCATCCAGGGAGACAGAGGGTTATTCTCAAAACAGTTCATTCTACTGGAGTCCTTCTGTTGATCTTCAAAAGGAGCAGAGGAGCTGGGAGGCTCCAGATACTGATCGTATATAGAATGCTGGGGACTCCACGAGTTTGACTGCTCGTCAATAGCCCAGGAGGAGCTCTGAAATTGTTCGAAACTCTCGTGCTGGCGTCTCCACTGGTTCCACTCAGGGTTTTCCTTGGGAGTGAGGTCGTCAGGTTTGGAACTGAAGAGGACGGTGGGAGGTTTAAATGTGTCCACAGACTCTGAACTGTCGTGGTAGTTCATCCTAACGTAACTTGGTTTCGGTTTAACAAGGTGTTCGTTCGAACTAAGAGGAGCCTTGATGAAGTCATTCAGCGAGGTGTTCGCAAACAAAGAATCATTCCGTGGAAAGGGTTCCATGTAGGTGGGTTCCTGTGTCGGGAATACAGTTTGTTCATCAGCTAGCATCTCATCAAACAACCTCTCTGCAACCGACATGTCTCCTTTTTGACGGGACGCGGAGGTGGGTCGTCTTTCATCTGACTTGTAACCTCCACTCCCTTTACCACTCTCCTTAAAATCTTCTGAGGTCTCGTCAACTACCCTTATCTTCTCATCGCTTCCTCGACGTGTTTCAGAGAAAGCATCTATGTACAAGGGAGCTGGTCTGTGCTCGAAGTCTGAGGTGGAAGTAGCAGGTAGGTCAGATTGGAAATGGTTGGCTGTGCTAGTCTTCACAATGTTCGGCTTGATGTTAAACCGTTCCAGAGAATTCCGTATCCTTATGGGGCTAATACGACTAAAGTCAGAAGTAGGAGGGACATCCTGTGGGACACTGACACTCTGGCTCGGTTCAATGCTAGCCACGACCTTCTTCATTAGGGTCGCATTTTCAGATACGTTATTTTCAGATACGTTATCAAAACTTTTATCCGTGTTCACAAGCAAATCAGAATTATCAGCCTGCATTCCAGGACTTTTTATCAAAGTATCTGCAATATCGGGTTGTAGTGCTGACTCCGAAGAAAACACTCCATCCTTAGAAACTCCTTCATTTCCTCCTTGTTCTAATTCTTCCACTTTAACGGTGGGAAGTTCAAACTCCTCAGGGGGTTTTGTTTCTCCTACAACAGCAAGTCCTTGATTATATATCTCTTGGTCACTCATTGGAAACAGTGTGCGTAGGACAGACATTTTGGTAGCTTCTTCATCGGGGCTTTCAGCTTGGGGCTTGTTTTTATTGTTTTCTTCAGCTGATTTCAAGGATTTTTCAAAAGCTTTGCTTTCCTTGAACCTTTCCAACACGATATTGAACACATTAGCTTGAGGGTCTGGGATGTCCTTGATTGTGGAGGCAAACAGTTTGTACATGGTCTCAGTATCATCAAGTGTCTGTATGTTTCCTGCCTCGATAAGTCTGTCTATCTGAGCAGTCAGGCCTCGGTTTTCCTCCGCCTCTTCATCTGACTCATCAGCCTTGTTCACAGTCGGTGTGATTTTAGACCAGGCTGATTTAGGAGGGGAGAAAGGTGTGTTCAACTTTGCTGCACTATCGAACTCTGATTCCTCCATGACGTCGAGAGAGGTTCTCCCTCGGGGATGAGATGCAGACATCCGGGCCCGACCTTGCATTCTCCTGCCGTATACGTACTTCAGCGTCTTCTTAGCGTTGGTTTGTTGTACCGAGGTTTTTGGTTTGATGTACAGGAGGGTTCCTTCTACGGGCTCCTCTTTTATCACGGAGATATCCTCAAAATCAACAGGTTCCTCTTTCACTGCCACTAAAGGTTGCACCTCTATCTGCTTTAACTTTTTGACACGTTTTCTGAATATCTCCACCATCAGCATCTGATCAGGCTCTAAATGCTCTTGCTTTATTTTTAATGTTTCTGGCTGGACAATAGTTTCAGGTGCTGTGTCAGATGATTCCTTTAAAACGGGTTTATTGACTTTCGGCGAATCGGTGGCAGGAATAATTGGAGACGAATTGGTTTCAGCATATGTTTCATCGACAGGCTCTGTTTTAATCGCAAATGGAATGCATGGCTTTTTATGTTTTTTCGTCTTTTGCTTCCTCGCCTCTTCCTCAATGTGGGATGTCGGATGAACGATGTCCTCGGTCGCTGTATCAGTATTTTCATCAGATCTACTGACTTTAAATGGTATATTAAGCGATACAGAAGACAAATTGATTTCAGATGATGTCTCATCGACAGGCTCATGTTTTATGGAAAAAGGAATGCACGGCCTTTTATGTTTCTTCTTTTTCCGCTTTCTGGATTCTTCTTCGCTGATGGGCGATGGTTCCTCAGTATTTGGAATATTAGGTGTGATATTTTCACTACTTTGTGAAGGAGGATGGATTGATGTGGATAGCTCAGCTGGACGCGTCAATGCACCCCTCTGTTGAAAGCAAGGAGCTGATGAGTATTGTTCAGAATCAGTGCTTAATATTGGTTCAGGGTGATTTCTGACACAGTCAGATTCGGAGCATTCTACAGGCTCTGATTTAATAAGAGCGTTGTGGTGATCACAATCCATCATTTCTCGTTTCACGGCCAGAAGGGGGTTTGGATTGACTGACATGTCCTCATAATCCATCGGCTCTGGTTTGATCGTCGGAGCCATATAAGGGTTTCTGTTGACTTGATCTTGATTACTAAAAGTAGGATAATTAATCTCTTGCTCAAAGCACCGAGGATTGCTTGTTAAATCCTGAGATGTTGAGGTGGATTGCTGCGAAGAACACGAAGACGGAGGTCGAGAGTAAGAGTCGAGTCTGGCCACCCTTTGAGAAACTGAGTATGGTCGTGATATCCCGTGCGAGGTACCAGACTGAAACTGAGTCATGAATTCTTGGAGCTTCTCCTCCTGCAGGGTAGCATCGGGACTTGTACTTCTACACTTTTTTCTGGCGGCCCATCTGGCAGCTCGATTACTGTCGGGAGGATACCTTTTTCTCAGAAACTCCTGGATGTTGTGACTTATCCGGATCTTCGGCACAAGAACCACAAGACTTTGCATTTTCTTTCTCTTGCGTTGGTACATGGGACGATGTTCTCGCGTTGAACTGGTGCTCTGCTCTCTCATGTGGAACTCATCCATATCCTCACACTGCTCTTGTCTCAAACTTTCAAAATATCTCTTAGCTCGTGCCAGCAGGCCCGGATCCTTCATGTCTGTCTCCCCATAGTGCGGGTCAAAGTGGGGTGCATCAAACTCTCTAGTATCATTCCCCTCTGCAAAGAACGAGTACAGTCCATACTGATAGCTGGTTAGATCGACAGTCTTGTTCAAGTTCCTGGCTACTTTAGAAGGATTGAACCTGCCAACAGGTCGAGATGAGTTCTGAGTCTCAGGGAGAGTGGTTGAGGTAGCAGGGGGGTGAACACGTGAACATTGTTCAGGACTACAAGGTTCAGGCTTTATCACTACCGGAGGAGGAGCATCAACTATCTCTTCTTTAATGTTTACTCCTGAAAAGAGCAAAATTTCAGTTTCAAATTGAATATCTACAGATATCTGCAATCTCGTACTTAATTCAAAATGAGATAATTGGTTCGCACGGCCGTGACAACACACTCGACAATAGAATGACACACCATTTATTTTTCTCTCGCGATCAGACGGTATCCTCTAATACGAAATAAACTTCGGAACAGGTTTTCCGACGACTTCAGTTCAACTGCAGTATATTATATGACTTCAGTTTAACTGCAGTATATTATCATGATTATAATATGACAGCGAAAGTTTCACTTACCAAAGTTTTCAGGGCATGTTTCCATCTTCTGAGTCAAATCTTTCACGCCATATTTCCCTTGCTGAAGTAGGCATGTCAGTGAATCAGCTAAGTATATTATTATTAATTGAATGACATAATTTCCACCGATACGCTAACATTATTCTATACGATATTGTGATCTAATAGGCAAGGTTAACTTTAACCCTTTCCAAAGTCAAGCCAAATATACAGAATTATCCGTATGTAACCAAGGAGACTTAATCTAACAGGGCACATGCCCGCAGCTTCATATTTATAACTCTGCTTATAATTTACATTATAGTCAGTCACTCCAGTGAACAGTTTACTTGACTAAATGATAAAACAAGTGCATGACAGAGAAATCAGCAACCGGATTTTGCCATGAAGCAGAATTAATAATTGGAGTAGAATTCTAAGACGCGCAATGCGCGCGTCATTTTTTGATCAACAAAGTTCAAGCCGTGGCCTATCTAGCAAGGAAAAATGTTCTTAAAACTAGCAATAGGAGAGAAAATGCGCTTGCACAAGTTAACTTAATAACATTTCTAGGGCCTTCTGGACAGAATACCACGTTGACCGATGACACATTATACCAATTATACAGAAGTCAGTAACATACACGAACAATCTGCTGAAAAAACCATTATAACAGTAAATGGGATAAATCACTTAAACAAAAGATCATTCAAAGCAGTCCCGCTGCTACGAGCTACGAAAATAAACAAAATAAATCTGAGACATCAATCGAAATAGATTCTACAAACACAACCTCAAAACGTCATTAAAAATCCATAAAAAACGAATAAAATTAAGTTAAAACAACAAACAAGGCCCTACTAAACAACAAACTCGAAAATCTAGAAAATTCTAAAGTGTTAACAGCAGAATGAACAGAGATAAGAATGTACTCGTTTGATTTGACACGTGACACTTCAACAGAGCAACACATAAACCCGCTAAAGTAGAGCCTGAAGGTAAAAAACACCTCTTATTGATGGTTAAATTTGTCACGTGTGATCTTTACAAACCAAGATATTTTCCTATTTGCAAACATTTTTCAATCGCTGTCATAGCTGCTACCATCAGAGTCTGAGTCCGTATCAGCAGCCACTTCGCCCGAGTTGGGTGGAGCAGGCTGGTCAGGATTATCTAGATATATCGGGTCTAAACCTTCCATTCTCATTTTGGAATGCAGAGCCGCGGGAGGTATTCCCATGTGCACCATCTTGAAATATTTTGCATACCGTGGATCTTTGCTGACTGGTGTGTATTCTGAAATGGGAGAGATACTGAAGGTCACTAACTTAAATAAGCGGGAAAATTAAGCAAGTCAGTGATAAAAGGACGTCAAATCCTTTTGATATTTTCCCAGTACAACATAAAGTGCTACGCACATATCTACCATACACGATATAGGGTTAGGGTTATATATACATGGTCCAGTTAGGAACTTCTCAGTCAGATAGCACCAATACTCAATTAGTTACATAGTTAGTTAAATAGTTACAAGAAACAAGTAGAGCTGAATAAAGTATACCTGGAGCTGGTTCAGCAGCAGCAGCAGCAGCAGCAGCAGCAGCAGCAGCAGCAGCAGCGGGCTGCTCATTCTCTTCCTCTATCTTATCAGCAGGTACAACAGGAGCTGACTGTACCGTCTGTTCAACTGGGACTGCTGTGTTGTTATCCTTGCTAACAGCTTCCTCTAGCTTGACCCCCTCAAGTTCAGGAATGGAGGCTAGTTTAGCCTCTAATAACAGGAGGGTTGTTTGGATTTGTTGGGTACGGCGGTCTACCTCTGCTAGTTTACTCTCAGCTTGACACGCGAATCTGTTCAAATGTCCTGTCATCTGGGGGAGTCTCTAGGTTAATATTTAGTGAATTTAGTGAATTTATGTTTATATTCAGCACAGAATGAAATGGAAAACTTTAGCAATACGACGTATCTATAATACACTGTTTAAAACATGAAACTACAATATCCAACCTGTATAATGAAATGGTTGATATAAGCAAGTGTTCGTTTGTGCTGTAAAGGTTCTAGAAGCTTCAAGTCCAGACTCTGCCCCACAAGTGGGACTCCATCTGCGTCCATTACCTTGGCCACGTGTTCTGGACCACGTGTTTTGAGGAAACTTCACATTCTACCTAGTACCTATAAGTACCGCTCAAGTTATAGTTTTATCCTTATAAAAGCCTGATTGTCATGTGATCCGAGCATTACAAGTTTCACGTCAAGTTTCAATTTAGAATTAATGTACTAAATCAAACTCAAAATATGTTCCTTTTCTTATACTTTGGTGTCTAATTTAATGAATATGCAAACAGTAGCGATATTGACAGTTAGCAGTTGATACTGGGTGATACAGTGAAAATAACAAGTTTTATGAACTCCTCATAATTTTAAACAAGACAACAAAACTATCGATAAACCAAGGACTTCGACTAATCACAGTTTTCATAAATTAATATATCATACAAAGTTGGGTGGGATTGTCCGCTTAAAAACGCTAACGAGAGCATCACTGAGAAGGAGCGAGAAGGGACAGACTAGCGATACACTGGTTGATATTCGCCTCCTCCTGTTCAGCGGAGATACTAGCGATAACCTCCTTCTCCAGCCAAGCCACGATGTGGTTCCTGATGAAGGCCTTCTTGGTGTTCTCTAACTCAACCTGGTAGTCCAAACGCTTCTTTACTTCAGTGTGGACGGTCTTTATTCGGCGTCTGTATTCCGCTTCGATCTCTATTTGGACCAGTTCACGTTTGATGTCGAAGATGTCGCCGGCCAGCTGGAGACTTTCGATAGCAGCCTTTTCTTCGGCAATGGCTTCTTCGTAGGCAGCAATCTGAACCTGTTTACCTGACAAGTTTATCACGTTAGAACTTTAACAGAAAACACTGCAGATATTCATGGAACTCCGGGTAACAATGTGACTGGCAATAAAATTAGATTAATATAATACAATTATATAATTAATATTTGCAATTTCAAATAGATAATGGATTATTGAAGGTGTGCACTGCAAATATCTCTTCTCCACCCCCGATCCCGACCAACTGATTTATCTCGAATGTTTTAACAAAAGATCTTTTCTTCCTAAAAACATTCCCAGAAAGTTTATTGTCATTATCAGATGACAAGTCGATAATGTAGCGACTTAAAATTTGAGAAAATAGCAGTTTAGATAATTACATATTTTGCAGGCATTTTAGCTTTTAAATAAACACTTGTGTTGGCCGTTGGGATCTAATGTTACAAAGTTAAAACACTGAATACAATTGCATCATTATGTTCAATTATGCTCATGAAGTTATTTATTGTGTAATGTAACATAATGTAAGTTACGATGTTGAACAATCTAACCTGAGAATACCTAATCTCTAAAGGCTTACAATTTGGCAATTTGTTCAGCTTGATTGCGGTGTTTTTTGTCTCCGCATTTTCGCACATAAAACAATTTAAGCAGGTGTGGAATAGTGCGTTGCCTCTGATCAATATCCGGTACAATACATCGTGTCGGCATAATTAACATTATTTTTCATGAAAATATAGTGTTTTATCATAACTGTAATATGGAAAACCAATATTGATCCTTAGTAGTGATTACTCAAGGCGCCCGAGTGAAAAAGTCGCTTCGGGTTATATATAATATAAATAGGTTATATACGTCTTACACATAACAATCATATTGTATTGATTTGAACTTGTTAACTTCAACAACCTTTTCTTGTCACCAGACCGGTTTAAAAGTAAAGAATATAGGAAATATAGAAGAAAATGTCCCGGAAATGAAGGAGCTGATCAAAATGGACTCGACGAACGTTATTTTATCTAAAATATCAACGTGTTACTTAAAACCACAATTAACATGTTGTTTTACATCTCTATATTATATTGTGTAGAATAGATTTTTAACTACATTAAGGCCAATAAATTTGGTTCACAATAAATTTGGTTACTAAAATGTTGGTTACTATCATTTTAGTCACATTTTTCGACTTATCGAGACCATTTTCCATTCCATTTAAATCAAATAAATTAGATTTTTCCATTGTTTAGCTAGTTTTTTCTCGATTTCGCACATAAAGTCATACTTTAAAGTTTAACGTCAGGCATTTTGATTAAATGATTTGTTGCAATTTGCCAGGAAAAGGAAGTAAGAGAATGTGAAAGCATAAAAGCAGTGGATTACACGTGTAATAGTCAAAGTAGTTCAGCAGTAAGAACAGTGATATCATTATATTAATTATAAACAATGTAAGCTCAATAATATTCATGTCATATATGCTCTACTGAAATTTTGGTCTGCGTTTAAATTAGTCGCCGAAAAATTTAGTCTCAATAAATTTGGTTTACAACAATTTTAGTCAAAATGTTGACTAAATTTATGGTAGACTAAATTTGTCGTTCTTAAGGTATTAACCTTTTAGTTAGCTAAGCTGATAAGGAGTTAAATGGTATACTTTTAACGTACACAGGAATACAAAATTGTTGAACTATTTGTGATTGAAAACCACTCAATAAAATCACACAAGAGCTTTGGCTCGGACAAATACCTTTTCAGGGATATCTCGCAGATCTTGATATTATGCTACAATTACCATACTCCCACCCACTTAAACTAGACACTTCTCCTTACCTTCACTCATTGTAGTCTCTATGCTTGCAGTGTATTTGTCGAGTCCATCAATCACCATAGGTCCTATCTTCTTGCCTAAACCGTAGGTGCACGTAAACAGAATTGCTCCAGCCAAGACCTGAGTATATGTTTTAAAGTTAGCATTTGAACGTAAATTCAAATAAATTCGACATTATAATTTGCATTCAATGAAAAGGTTTAGACCAACCACGTGCTTTAAATCTACAAGGTTTTTCCTCTATACCAAGTTAACTAAAGTCGTGTTTAACCAAATTTAAACGAATTAAACGAAGCTTAGTTACACACATCCATGCAAGATTTTACAAGCTATTTCTATGTTACTTACGTCGGCATCAAGAACAATCATTTCCTTGCTGACAGCTGTAGCGAGGAGGGAGCCTCCAAGTACTGCTGCTCCAGTTTGTCCAGTTGAGAGGGGATTCTTACTTGCTTTTACCTCAGCAACATCTGAAACAAAAATAAATGTCAAATATCAGAACATTAAACCGTGAAATACATCTCGTGGTATATGTAATAAAGCGATCACAAAACTAACCATGTTTATTGTTTAAGGTACCAAGATATCCAAAGTATAATATTCAACTGCTAGATCAATAATTGTTGATCTAGCAGTATCAATTTATCAAATAAAATGAAGCAAAAAATGGAAATACATGGCGTATGACTGTTTAAAGGTTTGCAATAATTAAGGCCACAGGGGGGGGTCCGAGGTCAATTTTGAGATTTTGAGATATGTTGTAGAGCTCGATCTAAATTTTCAAATGCTTTTGTCCTTACCGAAAACAAAGTTTCCTATTTGAAGATATCGCGCGTTGAATTTTGAGGTTTACCTGTAATTCTATTGTAAATGAAAACTTTAAATGCAATTGTGTTCAAAATCTATCTTCTTTTTTAGTTTATGACTTAGAACCTTGTAACTTGGCAACAATGTTCTTAAAGGTATTTTGAGTTTTTGTTATGTAACGATTTATGATATCTTGCTCCAAAGCTGAGATATGAGGTTAACCATGAGTGAGAATTACAAAATTTACAAAATTTAAAATGGTTAACCTCATAAAAAGAGTTAGGAGCAAAATTACAACAATCGTTACATAACAAACTTTTAAATTTATGTCAGGAACATAAGTTCCAAATTTGAGGTGAAATGGATAAAAGCTCTAGAAGAAGATAGGTTTTTGAGGTGGTAAATAAATTGTTCAGGAGAGTCAAAAGACCATGATTCTGAGAAAATATGTTAACCTCAATTTTCCAACAAATAAAGGACATATAATAGTTCTGTTCACATTGGATGGCCAATTGATACCCATTGATAAGTTTAACTTGTGATGAGAGCAACAAAATGTTAAGAACTGGTTATTTGTGAGGTTAACTGATTAAAAAGGCAATAGTTAACCTCTATTTTACGACAAACTAGTCGCTCTGGGGGGCTAAGGGTGGTGTGCAAGCGTCAGATAGTACGTGGTCTGCCAACTGGCAAAAAACTTTTTTTCGACCTCGGACCCCCCCCTGTGGCCTTAATACCGATGTGTTAGTAGAACTAAAGTCTGAGTTAAAAGTTAAAGGGTTAAAAAGTTCAAAAACACATACCTGAAGAAAATCTGTTGGTGATAGAGACCAGAGGGAGCTTGGAGCTCTGACGAGCAAGCAGGCAAGTTCTACTGAGCATCCTAAAAAGCACAAGTTGCATAAAGTGATGTTTAAGTAATACACATTACAAGAGCTGCACCTGTCGTAAGGTATGCTCAACAGAATACAGTGGCACAATAGATGGATCAATATCATGTCTTATGCTGATGTCAGCTTCATCTACAATATCAAAAATAGATCAGAGGACCTACTTTCTTACTACAATAGAGCACATATAATCACACATGCCGTTTTATAATAACCCTCTTGACAAGATGAAGTCTTGTCAAGAGACACAGAAAGCTATTCACGTGCAAATATTATTGGAGCAACGCATTTTGATCTGTTCTGTTGTTATTGCATTGAGTGATTTGTGGTATATTTTAATCGGCTTTATCTTATTACAAATTTATTAGCCTCCAGTCTCAACCCTGTAACTATAGGCTTTCTAGTCACTTATAAGAATTGAACAACCCTTGGACTGGAGTCTGTGTCTATTAGTACAAAATCTGTTACTACAAAATCAAAGGTTGAAGAAGACTGTTACAGATTCTTTGCCAAAATGACAAAGAATAAAATTGATGGCTAGCTACACACCAACAATAAGCCTGATGACTGAAAGTGAGTATTGAGGAATCTTGGAGTTAGATTCTCAGCCGATTTATTCAATTTTAGTTTTTAAAGGTGACTGATATAACTCAGGAACTAAATATTCATCGCAAAGACATGTGATGAACACTATTCTCGTCACATTCCTTACATTCTGAACTTCCGTAATTTCTGTGGCAACCAGATTGCTATTGCGCAGGGAATGTACAGCAAATAATCTGAGGTAGCCTAGTGATTAGAGCATCCGCCTTCTGCGCAGAAGGTCCAGGGTTCGAATCCCAGTGTCACCTAGTCTATGGAATATCTAAGGATTCATTGGATATATGCCATCTCCTTGGTCGACTGATAGGGAACTTGATTGAGGGTTAAATGAGGAGGGGTACCTGTTAAAAGTTAAAGAAAATTCCTAGGATACCCCCTCAGTACATACTGTAAACATAGTACTATTAACTATTAACTTCCTACACGCTTCCTACAAACTCTTAATAAGTAGCCATCCACTTTAACGCCCATACACAAATCTAGATAATGCATTCATAACATTGAAAAGATAATGCAGTTGGGAGGGCAACTGCGATGATTCCAGGGCAAGTTCACATCCTCTGAAGATACTTTTACATGTTTTTGCAATAATGAATTGATTCATATGCCGCAAACAACGACTTCAGGTCTGGAGTTATAAATTATTATTAAATCTAATATGGCTAATAAATAGAATGATTATTAACTGGCCCCTTCATTTGGGCAAATAACGTACTCTGTAAAATTATATACACAAATTCATATCTGTGTATATAATTAAATGTCTCGAGTTTTTAAAAGCCTTGGATTGCAAGATCTCATTTTCAAGATATTAAAATGTAGACTAAAAGAAGCAATCGTTTTGTGAACCAGAGGCGGATATTGAGGGCGTCCAGGCATGCGTGGACGCCCTAGAATTATTATCTGGTTAGTGGTTACTGGTGCTTGAAAATAGAAATAGTAATAGTATTTGGAAATATCTAATTGCGATATAAATCTTTTTATTCTACTCAAACGTTCGAATGTGAGCGCACGCATGATCTTTGTGAAATCATGTTATAGGGTGTCCAATCCTCGTTTGGACGACTCTGCCACACAGTTGTAACACACAGTTAATTGCTAACGGCTACAAAGCACATCATTGCATCAACAAACTGTTAATTTATACAACCAGTGTGTCCAGGACACTGCAATTTGAAATATCTGCTAAGTTTCTGTCTTTGTTTCCTGTCGCCTATTACACATTACATACAGGCCCTGTGTGTAACTGTAATGTGTAAAACGTGTGGGCTTGTGCTAGTATGTGCATGGTAATTTCTAGCTTCGGTGTAATTATCGTAATCTTGCCTTCTACGTTATAATAATTTAATTAATTAATTAACTTTCTGCCGTGGTATGTATGCAGTCATCGGCGAATAGCCATCGGCAGTTGGGGGAGAAGGGCCGCCCCCAAGCCCCCTGAATCCGTCGATTGGACACCCGACACAACGGCCAGCCAGCTCCCGCGAGCCGCCTCTGTTGTGAACAAATTTGATTCTATTCCTAGCCGATTCAAGAATTTGGCCACCGGGTCACTGGGTCAGTAGGTAAGCTGAAAGGCTATTCACATGACTGTCTCTATTTGTCACAATCTTCATTTATCTTTGCCCCGGAACTTTGACCTGTTGACATTGTGTTTGTATTATAGTGTAGTATGGTTTTGTTAGGTTTCCACCTTCGATCTTTTTTTTAGGTTGCTCAGCTTGTGATTTTTATATTAACGTTAAATTTTCTATCATTTGTAAGAATTACTGTTGTTTCTAGCCATGTACCTTTTGTTGTAGGCTAGAGATGTAATTTCATTACGATGATATTTGACAACAAATTGTACTACTATTATACAGTACACTATGATGCAAGGTGGACTGGTTTAGTTGAAGCTTCCGCCTTCTATGCAGAAGGTCCAGGGTTCGGATCCCAGTCTTAACATTAGCTAAGGATCTATTGGATCCATGCGAGATAACACATTTGTGTAATAGCTCTAAGCTCCTAGGTCGCCTCAACCAAATGGTTATATATAAACGTGATTGCGGGTTATGAATAAAGAAGGGCTCTACTAAAACATCAATAATCCTTTTAAAATACATTATATTAAATCTGAGAAGTTTTCCCAATTGAACAATCAAACAAAATGATGAATGTAAATCTTCATAAGAAGAAGGGATTCTAATTTATTGATTATAATATTCATTAACGGGTGATACTAGTAAAATATCTGTTCCAACTCGGCGCGCATCCTGGTAGGTTGTAAACGTACAAAATATTCATTGCAATAAACATATAATATCCATTACTTCAGGAGTGATGACAGAATATAAAAAGAAGGAATACAAATTTTTAAAGAATACAAGTTTGAATTTTTACGTTTAGGAAAGAAAAATTTTTTAGGAAAGAAAAATTTTTATTTACCACAAAACAATCAATACATAATGTTATATTCATAAATAAATTCAAATTTCAATTTCAAACACATATACAGTACGCCGCGCACACAGCCACAATTTTCAATTGTTCAGAAATTCGAAAGTCAGCTGTAGGCGCCGCGCACAGGATCTATTTAATTGTTATCTTACAATTACATGTCGCATTTCTTAGTTACTAGAGCCAAAATTTCAGAAGCAAAATAATTTAAAACATATTTCTGTCGTTCACGCAGTACAGGCCGTGAGCACTGCGATCTAATTAATAGATCGAATAATATTAATGGAGAAATTCCAAAAACCGCGCGCTCGTTATTTGTGATTAAATTGAGTGCGCACCTCTGTGAATAGCAGTACCGCTCAAGCATGAAGTACTAAGCGGTACGCAGTTCTGCGTGAGGCGTAGACATTTGTAGCACACGTTTCATTCAACTAATCAATTATGTGACATGTAATTATATTTATATTAAAGCAAAAAGAATATTAATTTTAGTAATAATTGACGTAAACATATGTGTTTAAATAACATTTATAATCTAGCGAGTTACCAATAATATAATACTATTTGTTTGTATTATTGATTATATATGTTTACACTAGCCTATATTATGATGGAGATATACATTATATAATTGCTCCAATATTCAACACTGCTAAACAACAAATACCTACTCGCCCATCGATGAAGCAGTCGCCAAAACAAAGCTCAAAGTTAATATACCTTCGTACTTCGTTTTGGAAACTGTAGAATGCCAGTAAATAATTAATGTTTCAATCGTGTATTCGATGGGCAAGCACTCTCCACTCGAGGCCGAGACAAACGGCACCGGCTCCGCCCTGCAACCATGAAGTAATGTAAGCAGTAAGGCGGGTCGGTGGTGTGCGCCGTTTATACGGCCCACAGCACGAGACATTTTGAGCTCCAAGACTTAAGACTATAAAAGTCCCGAGTTAAACGTAGCGACTTACCATCGTCAGCTGTCAAAAATTTAGAATTTGTATGTTATAAACTCTAATCTGATATCAGTATAACATGTAATTTAGTTTGTTATTGGCTAAATTTTTAACTCGATTAAGCGATGCAGACGGATGAACTAGGCTCCTCCTCCCTCGAAAACACAATGAGAGGGGATTGTGGAAGGACACGAACACTATTCGTTAACTCGTACCCCGGGTACCCCCTAGAACTATGTCCCATCAGAGAGAGCCCATCATCCGTCAGATCGAAAACAGTGTTTTAATTTTGATATATACTGTACCAATTACAATAAATGGTAAGTCAAGGCTGACGTTGGTAGCAAAATATAAAGTGACACGTTACAACAAAATAACCACTACACACTACACACTATACGCTATAACTATTGTACACAGTACACAGTATAACTAAAATATAGAATATAAACAAGGTTACAAGAGACAAAAGGGTTTACAGAAGAGTTTTACATCGGCTCAGCACCGCCAGGACATTGGCTATACACGTGGGTCAATAAGTTTGATTTGGTATGGTTCGACCGGGAAAGTGGTCGAAATTAGTGCTCTTAATGAGTCATCACTGTCGTCTGAATATTAGAGCGGGAACTTCCCAAGTTTCGGCCGACAACGCGCGCGCACAGCATCGGCGCGCAATGCCATGCGCGCGCGTTTCCATATTGCTGTGTCATTCGGCGGTTGCGCTCAGCGTAACTTGGAAATGAGTTTTATGTTGTTTACCTAAATTCAAGCATGGTAATCATAGATAAGCTTGTCAGTCAGTAAGTGCTTAAGTGGGAATAACAGGCAAATAAATATCACTTCTTAATCAGAATTCAGTGAAATTTTTGTCACACCACTCAGTTCCATACCGGTTTTGAGCTCTTAGAAGTGACTGTTTAAGTAAATTCTTGATAGATCTGCATGTGGAGGTGAAATTTAACGGGCCAACTTTACGGAATTCATTCCACAGCCATGCAGATTTACAAATAAATTGATTAGTTGGAGAGGGTGTAATGAACAGATTATCTTTCCTATTTGATATGTTGAATAAGTAGTATAACGAAATTGGTACTCGTGACTTAATGATCTTAAAAAGTTCCATTAAACAACGGTATCTGTACAGGTTCTCTGTAACAAGTAATTCATGTTTTGTGAATAGAGGCTTAATAATAATAATAATTCTATACTGTTACATAATTTAAAAATTATGGCCCCTTATTGTGGGCAGAGTATGTGTCTTTATTTAAGTGTCCTGATTTAAAAATCATCTGAGTGACTGCATTGAAATAATTTAAGGAGAGTACCATAAAAACGTTAAAACAAAAGGAGTAACAACTAGAACATACTTATATTAATATCAACATTAGAACAAAATACAGTCACCTAATTCTCTTCTCCTACGGTTGAGTATAGAGGAACCATCTTTGGCGTGTATTAGGGACTTAGACCATTACAAATACCCTGCTGTAAGTTTGCAAGGTAAGTAAGTAAGTAAGTAAGTAAGTAAAGATTATGACATTACATCATCACAAGTGTCTAAAAATATCATTGCACTAAATAGAAAAATAATTCAAATAGACATATTCTTCCATCAACATTAATAATTTATTAAATTCAATTTTATTAATTAATAAAATCTAATGCATTATATATAAATAATTAATTAAAACTTCCCAGTGGAATAAAGATTTATAAAACGTTTCTTCGCCACAAAAGGATGAAACCAAAGATATTCATTATGTGTCTCCTTATTGCTTAAATAACTGGGTCCTTCAATTTTCCCTAAAACTTCGTTCGAAACATTCCAAAAATAAAAATCATTTACACTGTTATTAGAAATCATTTCTTTCTTAAATCCTTCCAACCTAACTTTAAAGCTTAAAACTGTCGAGCAGTTCTTGACATCTGAAGGGAGTTTGTTCCAGTAAGGAATGACTCGCTCCGGAAGAAAAGAAGACTGGAGATTCTTAACTTTAGTTACACTCTTACTACACCTATTGGTTGAAACTAGATTAAGACCAGATCTGCTCATTCTGAACAAACCCGATCCATATTCAGTCAAACCACTAGTTACTTTAAAAGCTTCAATAAGGTCCCCACGTATTCGCCGCTCTGCCAGCGTTGTCAAATTGAGGATATCCAGTCTACGGCTGTATGGAAGAGTACCCACCTCATCAATAAGACGGGTAAACCGCCTCTGGACGCTCTCCAGCTCCAAAACAGTCCCCCAACTTCCATGAGCCGCAACTGGATTCCACAATTGGACACAATACTCAAGATGAGGTCTTATCAAAGCTTTATAAATAGCTATCATTACAACCTTTTCTCTAATAACTAAGTTCCTTACAATCCAGCAGATCATACGATTTGCTTTAGAAATACATGCTTTTATCTGTTCATTCCAAAGCAAGGAGCTATGGGTAATAACCCCCAAATCTTTTTCCTGTGCAGATACTTCTAGTTCTACTCCATTTACAATATAATTCGAGTTAGGATTATTATTCAGATTAATATGGACTACTTTACACTTGGCAGGATTGAAGTTTAAGTGCCAAATACTCTCCCAAATTTCGAGTTCTAAAATATCATCAGATACACTTTTATGGTTAGCTGCATTACAAACTAACTTGAGATCATCTGCAAATAATTTAATCTTATTTTTAACATTGTCAGGTAAATCGTTTATATAAAGAATAAACAACAAAGGACCTAATACTGACCCCTGGGGAACACCAGATAATACGTGTTTCACCTCAGACCATTGACCTTCTACACAAACCCTCATGGTTCTGTCTGTCAGAAAGTCTTTTATAACATCTAAAACTTTTCCCTTGACCCCAAACCCCTCCAATTTAGATAGAAGTCTAAAGTGGGGGACTGTATCGAAAGCCTTACTAAAATCAAAATATAAAAGATCAACAGGAGCACCTTCATCTAAAATATCAAGAATATTATCAAATGTCTCTAAGAGATTAGATAGACAAGATTTACCCTTCACAAATCCATGCTGATGCTTTGAAAAGGTATGTGGACTAAGTGGGTCGAGAGTACTCGACTTGGAAGTGGGTGTTGAGAATTCTCAACTAAACTAGAAGATAATGATGTCCAGAAGATGAGGCAGTAGATGGAGTAGTAAAGGAGTAGTAGAGGCTGAAGGGGGAGTGATGTCATAAGGAGATGTAGGACATGAAGGGGGATGGAGGTGAAGGAGCACTAATAAGTATAAGTATCAATTCTATGATAGTTCATCGATGGCGATCTGTGCTAAAGATCGGAAGGCAGTGATGCTGCCATCACTACCATCTCTTAAGATAGACCAGCATGGTTGGTCACTAGTGGAGTGCTCTTGAATGGTTTCTCTGTAGGAACAGCGGTACAGTGGACAAGAGAAGATTCGATGGTAATTGTTGTCCAACATCTGACAATTCGGACACTGAGGGTCGCAGTTGTTGGCAACCCTTGCCTTGAATGCTGTGAAGGTGATGTCATGGCCATGCAAGAGAGACATTACTTTAGTGTCTGTGCTCCTGCTTGAGTAGCGAGGAAACAACTTTTTGCTCCTCTCATCGATGTTATCCAGTATCTCACCCGGATTAGAGGACTCTTTAACATAGAATTCAGATCCTAGACGTTGAGAATTAATTGGTCTTGCTCTAGCACATTTCTTGAATCTGTCTACATAAGCTTCATAGTCTCCAAATAGAATCCTGATACACTTCTTTTGAGTAATAAATAGCGGTTTTAACTGATTATTGGGAATACCTCCCCAGACAGAAATAGCATAACCTAGGTGTGATTCAAAGAGAGAATGATATATTTGCTTATACAGTGATTCTGGTAAGCATTTCTTAATACGGTAGGTACGTCCACAAGCACTTCTTAGTTTCTTGTTGAGGGATGATATATGTGGTTTCCAGCTCAATTTATCATCCATGATTACTCCAAGAAATTTTGTCTGACTTACACGTTTAATTATTTTGTTATTAATGGACAAGTTTTGGCTATCTATATCGGCATCTAATTCGTTATTATTACGTTTAGAGGGAGAAAAATACATGTAACAACACTTCTTTACATTAATGTGCAGTAGGTTAACTCCCATATACTTGTTTACGGCCTGTAGTACTTCATTAGCTAATTCATATGCTTTATTTCTCGAATCGGCAGCGACAAATATATTAGTATCGTCTGCAAATAAGACAAATTTACCCTTTTTAGTTATATTGCATATGTCATTGATGTACAGTAGGAAAAGTAGAGGTCCTAATACACTACCCTGAGGGACCCCGAATTCGACCGGTAATTCATCAGATTTGGTATCCAAAACGTTTACAAATTGTTTCCTATTAGACAAATAACTAGAGATAAGATTCAGAGCATTTCCTCTTATGCCGTAGTTGTTTAATTTTGTAGTTAGTTTACAGTGGTCTAGAGTGTCAAAGGCTTTTGAGAGATCGATAAAGACCCCTAGGACATGTTGCTTTTTACTAATTAACGATAATAAATAAAGACACATACTCTGCCCACAATAAGGGGCCATAATTTTAAATTATGTAACAGTATAGAATTATTATTATTATTATTAATTAACGCTTCTATATGTTCTACAAAGTAGTTCAGTGCATGGCTGGTGGAGTGTCCTTTTATTACAGATTAAACATATCATTGTATCACGTTGCGACCCCCACGGTCGTTTCACTATCGTCCTGACGATACAGGGGGAGCCGCGCACTTCGTGCGCGGCGGGTCATACAACTGACAACGTATGACAAACATATCATATATAACCATAAAAGCCGCGCGTCGGCTGATTGCCTCATTTTGGATATAAAATAATTTTAATCGACAGAAGCTGATGAAGATTGAAAAATATCAGCTCAAAAAGCTTAGCTTGCACCATTAAAAAGATCAAAGACTTGAGTGCCAAATTATTTAGTTGATGGTCATTGGTCATCAGATTATAAATTATAGGTCATATTTCAATTTTCCTTTTAATAATTGATAATATTAATCACGGCGCGACCATTTAGTCATACTAAAATGTTAAGGCAACAAGCTTTTACAGTTCAATGATTGGTTCAATCATTTTAAAATCAATATTGGAACGAATAATTATTTAAAAGTTGATTAAAAATAATAAATATGGAGCATATGCAGCAGTTAGCAACAGCCAGTAGTAGCCAGCAGCAGCTAGCAGCAGTTAGCAGTAGTTTGCAGCAATTATCAGCAGTTTCTTTGTACCTTAGTCTCACTGTGTTCAAAGCGCGCGTCAGTTGTTCTTATTCCAAATCTCAAACTACATATGCGCGACGCGCATGTTTTTACCAAACAGTAGTACAAAAATCGAGCGCTTCATCAATATACGTCAAGTATTTTCTATAATGTTTATAGGATCGTGTCGACTGTGAATATGTCCAAACTACAACTAATGTTACTGGACAGTGTCTGAAAGAAGTGAAACAAATTTTTAGTGAAACAAATTTAAAATTTTATCCTTTATTTTACAATCATAATATAATAATATTTATAAGCCTCCGTTTTGAAAGTTTTAAATTTTAATACATTCACATTTCTATTTAAAATTCAATTTTATGTACAAGTTAATAACTGGCCGCCAAAGCCGCGCATTCTTGAAAACAGGATTAACTTGATTATAGTTATACGACTATGTAAATTAAAAACTATCCGTGGTTTTTTCTTTTAAATAAATAAATTATAATTTTACCTAAGTCCAAAGCCAGCTTTGAAAAATTTACTATTAAATCATAATATATCGTCAACTTTAAATATTTACAATGCAACAATTCATTAATCTGTAAACACGCGTACTCCAGCCCCTAAACGCATAAATTGTTATGCACTGCTGCGCGCAGTGTTGTGACCCCTCTTCGTCGTATTTTACACATATTTGGACGTTGGCAATTTATTCAATTGATAATTTTAAAGTTTTAACATTTTTTATTTTAAATTCTTTTTTAATATAGTTCTAAAACGATTAAGCTAGCTTTCTGTGAAAATTTAATGTACTTTCGTAAAATAATTTTGATGTGGCAGCGATTTGAAAAAGAAATTAGTTAAAAATGATACAAAAAAATTGGACATTTTTTGATATTAAAACATGTATAACTTTGGCTGTGTTGACAGTAGAAAAATAATTTAACCCTTGTCCGAAAGGTTTACAAAAGTTTTACGCGCCGCGCATAATTGCCGCGCAATTTCGCGTGTCAAATCCGTCTAAGAGTGAACATAATTGATGAAGGAGCACGTTGAGCTTTACACCTCGTGCGTTCACTGTTCGCGCCTTAATTGCGCCCAGTTCACTTGTCACTGTTGCCTCGCGTTATTCCATCATCCATATTTCTGCTCTTAGTTGCTTTATAATGTGTCAGCAGTAATCAGCCCTGCTGTATTATATATTGTGCTTGATTGTTGATATCTAATTCATTAACTGTTTACGATGGCAGTTTATATGGTGGATGATGATTAATCACTCTACAATCGCCTGTCACGTGACTTCTTCAACCCGTTCTGTAGATGGCCCTAAACAACTATTCGAAACCCGGAAACCATAACCCTCTAATCAGATCCCAACCCTAACGGCCTAACCCTAACCAAACCCTTTACAAAAGCATATACTGAAACACTATAGAGAAATTAGGCTAACTTCCTTATACGGTCATATCACGTGATCGAGACAGTTTTTCGCCAATATCTCGTTAGGGGAGAATTTTAACCTTATGTCATGGGGGTAATAGGTAAGTGCTTAGTAACCTCTTTGCTTTTATTCGAGCCTTTTATTAAATCGAAGTTACAGTTCACGAGGTTGATCCTTTGGGAGATATTAAATCCTGTTTTACTATTATTTATAAATTCTAACGTTTAACTTTAATAATAATAAGTAAGTTTGGACGCGACTAGAAACGAGTTTAATCGACTAAGTTTTTGATTTTGTGTACCTTTTTATCATACAACTTTTTAATTTCAGCAAATTTTAGTTAAAGAGTAAATCAAAGTTAGCAATCATTGAACTCAATAGTTAAAAAGGTGACTGTAAAAATAGAACTAAGATTTCGATACTTTTAAATGAACTTCTAGTTCTAATGATATAATTTTAAATTATTAGATGTTTAAATTTTCCTGATAGCTGGATCATAGTCATGTAGAAATTAGGTTAAACATTGTCATGCAGAAATTAGGTTAGAATAATTTTGTCCATAGAAAACACAGTCACGCCTTACATTATTACAAGCTTTAAAGGGCTCGTGAGTCGTGTTAGTGTTACTATTACTTTTGAGCTTGAAAGCAGACAAAACTTTGCTTATTTGTTTGTTTATTATTTTGTTTGTTATTAGAGAAAGAAGACAATATTACCTCTCGATTATTTCAGGAGAAGCTAAAAGCGCTGAAAGACCAAAAAGCAGCTTCCGCAGGAGCTGTTGAATCAGCACGCTGAAGAAGTACAGAGACTGGTGAACAAGCTGATAAACTCAGACAGCAGCAAAAACTTCAAGTGAGCTTCGTGACGTCATTGACATTACCGTCGTTGTGACGTCATTTTCGATGTTGATCCGTGATCGAATGAATTTATTTGTATTCTAGAGATTCTATTTTAGCATTTGACAAGTAACAACTTTGGCTCTGTTTACTGTGCTGTAATGCACTGAACGACCGGGATTCCCGGCGCCGGGGGAGGTGTTTATTCCCGGCCCCGGCCAATTTTGAGTTTTTGGCCGGGATCGGAATTATAGATTAAAAAGTCACATAAGAACATAAAAACTACTGTCTTATTTGACCCCCAATTCATACTTACATTTACAACTTATCTTATATTGGTAAGGGATCAATTAGCCGAAGTTGAAATGGAAAGTGCCAGTTTTAATTTAAAGTCTGAAGCACTGAGCGTGAAAAGTGATATTAAAATGGACTCTAAAAGTGCCTGTGTCTTCATACTATAGTGTTCCGCCTTACTTCTATACTACTATAATCGAGCAGGACTTGACAAGCCCACTAAAATAAGTTGTGTAAAAAATACCACCAGTTCACGGCCCAACCACATTGTTTATTTGTACACCCAGTGAATTATTCCTTATATGGCGCGAAACATTCCTGGCCTAACGTGTGTGCTGTGTTTCTCCGCACTATCAGTTGACTACCATTCATGATATGTAGTTGACTGCCTCTGTACTCGCATTTATGTGTTACTTGTTTTTACGTGTTTGATTTAAATTGCTCGTGATTAGACACACGTTCGGTGAAAGGGGAGGGGATAGTTTTCACTTTTCAGACAAGGGAAGGGGCAAGGAAACGTGTGATTACTTGATTATTGATTTTTCACGTTTTAAGTTAATCTCGACACGTGTTCAGTAATTATGTGTTTTATAAATACCCTTATACTGTTTACACTTTTTAAATCCCTTTAAAGCCAACAATATAATCCACGAAACAGACTCCTGGCACTAATTTCAGGATCTAAAATAGGCCCGGGCTTTTTTAAAAGTTACTGACATGACGTTGGTCCTCACTTTTTGGAGTCTACTCCCTCATTTCCAGGTTAGTGCACTATTAGTGGGGAGGAGGTGTATTAACTTTATCAGTCACGTAACCTCATGACACTCCCCATCACGGGTAACTTGTAATGGTAACGTTGTCATGGTAACAGAAATGTGTTTTCAGGCTGAACAGGAAGCTGTACAACAACCGGTCTGACAAGTTACAAGTGGTGGACCTACATCATCTAGGTGTACAGGTTCGTTCATTTACTGATTGATAGCTTTTTTAATGAACTTATTTGTTTAGATTTATGACGTGTTTCTCAATTGACAATTTTATACCCTCGAGATAATACAAAATTCTATGAAGGATACATTTTTAATGTTCAATTACATAAATGACAAACTTAAGTTGACTAAATCGCTGCCTGTATTTGGATTATTAAAAAAAATCAATTTGGTGTGACCACAGTACCATAAGTCGCACTGAGCATAAAACCTGTGAGCAAATCACCATACTTAAAGAGTGTGTGCCAGCTCATGTCCGTCTTCATAACCTCTTCCCTCCACTGTCCCCATCTTGACTGCATCTCAAGAGAGCCGCATTGAACTTCCCTTTCATGCTCGAGGTTTCTTTTAACTCTCTGAAGGACCTCAGCTTGTTGTTCCCGGGCGTTCATCTTCTTCCACGGTTTCTTCCATTCTCCAAAACCAATACTTGCTCTGCTGTACGGCTGGACCATTCCTCTCACCGCTTCACAGACTAAGTCCCTCTCAGCACAATCTAGTTCCTTGTCTGGTCTCCAAACTCTCCCTGACCTGACTTGCGGTTGAATCGCCCTTATCATGTCATCAAAAAACTGCTGGTAGGACTGATGGACAATAATTAAAACTAAAAGGAGAGAGTGACGTGCCACACCCTCTGAAATCAATGAAATTTGGCGAAACTTTCAGAAATACTAAGTTTGACTCGCATGTGAAGGTCGCTAAACTGAATGTAATATTTCAGGTACAAATTCTACTAGTACGATTCGATGCAGTGGAAGAGGTTGAAGTTGACGTTTAAGCAGTCACCCTGCCGAACAAGAAATCAGTCAGGCAAAGAGGCTAGGTTGACTAGAAACTCAATCACTATATCCGTGAAACTTGCTGGAAGCTATGTGAGTTATTTTACCTCCTTATTTCAAATGACCTCCAAACCAATTACATTGAACTTTGAAGAGGTGAAGAAACCATTAATATTAACTGAATTAAATGCGACTATAAAACCGAAATAGTAATACACTGCTGACTACAAAGAAACATCTTACATGGGGCCAGGCTCATATAAGAGTTCATATGTTAGTGTTCATAGCCGTTGAAAATATGGCGGAATGACAGGCTGAATGTGGCCCAGTAGAAGAAAAAAACATTATAATTCTTTCCGACCATAATAGAAATACAATTAAACTAGAATGAAACAAAGAGTATTAAATTTTTAAATTAGTCGAGTCAACCAAATTTCACAGAGAAGCTGGACATTTATACGACAATTTAAACGCAATGTGTATGCGCCGTGATCAATGGTCACGGCGCATAACCATTGCGCCGTGACCGTTGATCACGGCGCATAACCCGTAAGATGCTGCGCACATTTTTGATTTTAAAATGGCGGGAACACATTTCAACTGCCATTGTTATACGATACATTGAAGTGCATAGTGGAGTGTGTGGTCTGATAGTAGACAGAGGATTTATTTGAAACATTCCCGGTGCCTTCAACTGTTCTTTGCACTGACTATTTGATTGCTTAAACGAATAGGCGAGCCTTCAAAAACATTAGTTTCAATGTTTTCATAGTTTTATGATGCAAATATGATTTTTCCATTTACTTAACTGATAATACCCCCAATATCTTTTCAGGTGTGGAGGTCGGACCGAAACTGTAATCAGACACTAAACATTAACGAGGACCAATTATTTTACTCCTTTAATGATGAATAAAGATCGCTGATTGCTTTTACTAATATATAGTGTTAAAATGAAAGAGAAAAACGCACTCATTTATTTATAGTTTTATGTCTTAACAATGTTATTCGAAAGCTAATTTTAAAAGCTGGCTCTGAATCCTTGCTAAATGATTTGGGAAGGTGTAAGGACTAGATATGCCTTTAGACATCATTTTCAGTGGGTTTTATGAAGTTTATGATTAGGGTATATTTTGTGACTGAAATAAGCGCAAGACCTTCGACGTTTCTATTCCTACTGTTTTTTTAATTTAGCAAATATACAAAAAAAAATTATACTGTCGTAAAGATAAAATGTTTAGTTATCGGATAGATACTTTAAAATTAAGTATTAAAATAACCGAGCTAAGATATTCAATGTTAAACTCAAAAATGTTCACGCGTTTATGAAGAAATATCTAATTCTGCACGTAGTTTTTTGGTCACAACTATGGCAAATTTTTACCAATTTTGTTCATAATTTCTAAATGTTATCTAGTAGACAAATTACTTTCGGACTAAATCCTTATTGTTTATTCAAATCTAAAAGAAACAACATTTATTTGAATTCAAAATTGTTCAATCTGAATACGAGCTAATTAGGACGAAGGGAGGTCACAACACTGCGCGCAGGAGTGTTATGCGGCGCGGCTCAAGCCGCGCACGCACGTATTATTTTATACTGTTTGCTTTCTAATAAATATCGTGCCAATGTGTACGTCTAAATTGTAAACGTTCATGTTTTGTGTAAAGTGAATCCAATTGGGACTAGTGACAAGGATAAGGACCCAAGTGCCTGTACGGCTTTTTCGGGCCCCTGTGGACCACTACTCTTGAAATCACTCTACAACATTGAACATCTATATCTACTACGTCATTTGGCAATTATTGTCATTAATCTAACTTTCTAATTAATTGCCGAGGGGGAAGAGTAAACGCTTCACATTAAAATTCAATATACAAAATTCAAAACCATCAATACGGTATTAAATATTATGGACAAGTCTATAGATCTATTTCGTAGTCATATATTCACATGATTTGCTTTATATTATATTATCTTAATACTGTAATGAAGTACAGTAGGATTTGTGTTTCGAGAAAGAAAGGTTGCGGTCAAATTATTAACAAAAGTAAACAAAAGTCCATCAGGGACTCCGTGGAGTCGAAAAAGGTATACGGCTGCTGTCTGGTGCTGCTAGGCATTTATTGATCAAGATGTTTTATTGTATTGATTTATAATGATTCTATTGTTCGTGACTAATCAAGTTCTAAGTGGAGGTATAAAGTGCTGCTCAAGATACTTCGTCATCTCATGTCCAGTATAATGATTAAGATAGTATACAATGCAGTTTTAGTAGTTGACCCATACAGTTAAGTCCGTCATAACTCACAATCGTTAAGTCGTCGGTCAATTGTCAAAGTCGTTGTGTGTTTATTCGTTGAGATAGCAGTAAGATAAGATGTTACGCGCGCGCGCGTTTAATCCCGTCAACGTGAAATGTGACAATGAAAACGCCATAGAATTATTATTTTCGCGCGTTACGTAGAGTTTACCAGTGTGTAATACTAGTTAACACTGGGTGTACACTGAGTGTAAGTGTAAGTTTCATATACAAGCCGTTGAATATTTCCAATTTTGAGTGTATTGTGAGCATGTTTTACAGTGCGATTGCTCGGTACTAGTGTGTTTGTGTATATATATATATCATTTGTGGAGTATGGTGTAAGTAATGTTTTTGGTTGGAGTGCAGTGGTTATATGTATGAGAAAAGATATATGGTCATTTTAGTAACTCACATAAATCAGAACTTGAGCTCATTTGTGGCAAAATTAAGCTCACACCAATCAAGTGTATCATGCTTGAATTGCAATTCTCGTAAGGCAATTTTCAATATATTCTTAAACCCGTTTGATGGAGTATTAAAACTTATCTT